GTTTTGCCTACAAGATTGGCTTAATTGACCTCTTTCACAAGACGGCCATATTGAAATGAAAGCGAGGTTCACTTGTATCGATTCAGGAAACCTAAGAATAAAAGCGAAAGCAATGAAATGAAAGTTCATTACAGATGATCTTAATGTTTTAACCAACATTTTTAAGCACAAATTTTTGAAAGTGAGGCATGTAACCCAACTAGTCTAGCACCGTTCCATTTGACAGATTACATTGAATGAGATAGATTCAGGGAACAAGACCAACAATGGCTTCTTTGAAAATAATGGTGTATTGTGACCACCCCAACAAAGAATCAAAAAGTCAATGGGAAATGTCAACATATTCCATCCACTTTCTTGTCCATTTTCACCGGGATACGAAAATGAGTTATACGTCAAAACGAAGAACTCACTTTGCTCTTTCTAGTCGAAACTAAAACTGAATCACCAACGATATGACCGTCCGCCTCATTTTGTACCCTCCGGTCACAACTGTGATTAGGGTTTTGTGAGGAATGAGATCATTATGCCTTCAGAATTATTATAATGATTGGTTTGGGTTTGGTGGCTGGTGGACTTTCAGAGGTTACTTGCCGAGTTATTCATACAGTGCACCGATAAACTTTTAGTTGATCACCTATGTAGCCCTATTCCCATTAGAGTTAGTAATATGCCGACCAGCATTTGTGATCGCATTTTGGTCATGATGGAAAGGCTTTGGTCTGGAACGGAAATGATAGTACCGTATTGAAAGAAAAACGCAATCATGCAAACAAACAAGTCAATCTAAAATCAATGTTTCCGTTTATGTCGGTCTAACTTCAGTGAGACAAGTGCTCCTTTATGGACCCAGTCGGCCCGATACTTTACCTATAGTCCTTCTTGATGTGGGACGTTCATGAAGAAGCTGCAACACTGGTTTGTGGAGCTGATGACGGGACAGACGCGATAATCAGCAACAACTGCATCATGGCAGTGCATCCAGTCAAAATGAGACGGATTTCATGTCCTTCTCATCCAGAGACAATATCATGACAGATCACCACCCATCAGTCAAGACGACATGGACTAACACTGGCGGGATTTGGTGCTTTCACAGGTCCTTTCTAGTTCCCTTTCCATCCCCTGGTTTCCTCCCAACACTCTCGTTAGAGGCCAAGTAATGCTCCCTCGTTCCCAGCAGGAGCCCAATTTAACGGCTTGTACAAAGCCAAAGATGTGATATCGTTCACACCTACTACGCTCTTGAGACGTTTTGAGACATCCACTTGTCGAAACCCCCAACATCCTTATGAAGATAGAGAACAGAATCAATACATCGTGGAATGATACGAAAACCACGACTACAGAGTGTACAATGTGATGTCATAATTTTTACAATAGTAAAAGTGCTCAAGACAGCAAGATTTTTCTAACAAGCTTTGTATGAATCGAAGTACGACCATTGGGATCCATTGACATATATCAGTCGTAATACCATATGTGTGCCTTCACACCTTCAATAAAAAAGGTTAAGTTTATCAGTGACATCTTTCATACTTGGGTATAAAGGAAAGATACATTTTGCCCTTTCGTTACCCTGACATACTGCGCATTTTTTAACTTGGCCAATTCGTTATTACAATTTCCAGCAACCTGTAATTGGGTTTGATGACAGTGTGCATTGGCAAGTCCCCGTTTTGATTGAAATGACATTTTATAAATAGTGATTAAGTAGCATGCTTTCCGGATACAGAGCAAAGCGTCTGTTTTTGCAAAGCCAAACAAAATTCACTAATTTGTTTATGTGTTATCACATTGAATGTGTACGGCTGGCTCATAAGAAGATTGGCAGAAAAGCTCGAAAAGCCCTCGATAAACCGAGCGGGGATGCGATCGTATCTAGCGGCATCCCGCTGGGTGTGTTTTGGCCCCGTCCTTGCTAAAAATCGTCTCCACTTTGTCCGGACAATGCAGAAGGGCCCAAATAGAGCAGTGCAGGTGGCGAGCGTATTGTGCCGGCCACAAAAGACCGATTTGCAATTGTGACAACCAAATTAAAGAGGACAGGCATTCCAGGCTGTACACAGCACGGGCTGAAGAGGGAATGGTTGCAGGCAGGCTATGGGCCCGGGACTGGGCCTGGTCTATGCTCACGCCTGCGATGCTCCGCGCCGCCGTGTGGGGCGGATGAGATGCTGGCAGACCGCCCCGGCCGCAGTGGACTGGCCTCTCAGCTGGAGCTAGTATGGGGTTGGGCTTGAATGCCTGGACGAACAGTTGTTGGGCTTGGATTAAGGGAGATAAATACCGGGATCATGTGTGTGGCTATTAGCTCCAACTGTCATCCCTAAAATGCCTACCCCACGCGAAATAGCGAGCCAGCAAAAGCGTGTAATCTGTTGATAGCGCTTCACTTTCAGACCTCAGGAGTCAATTTTGTCCGTTTTCGTTCGTACACAGACTTACTAAGTTAACATCTCCAGCCACGATTGAACAAACCCAAATATTCTTATGAAGACAGCACACTAACTTTTATAAATACTAACTTTGTATTCGCATTGAATTGAACGCATGTTGATTATCAACGACTGCGTATCAAACACCGACAAAATAAAGGTCAATTTGGGAGACTCCAAGCACGGGGCAGGCTTGGTCCCCCCCAACCCCGACCTTGAGCTACATGACCCGGATTTGAATCAAACTCACGCAGGTGACACGGCTTGACTTTTGCACTGTGTTCGATTCCCACGGTCCTCTCAAATTCTTGCTGTTTCGGACTTTGCTCAGATCTTTTTTTTCAATAACACAGTCAAGCAGACGTCTTTATGTGCCCTCGGTCCGCTGAACACTTTCATGAGAATTCTCCGCTTTAGTTTCCATGAAAAAGTCTTTTAACGATGAGTATCCCTGAGTTGTGTCGCCTCTAAGATATTGCATTGTGGCGACGTTGTTAAAACTTTGTTTTGCCTATATTATAGCTCTTGAGAAGGAAGATCGACAGCGTTTGGGAATGAACCGATCTATGATTAGCATCGGGCCTTTGCGTTAAACTTTGTTTCGAAATAGAGGAATACAGCACCAGAAATATTATCATCATTGAGAGGGTAACTGAACTCATTTGCAGCGAACGATGGACTCGCAAAACTCAAATCCGACATTATAATTTAGTACGATATCTCCCCATCATCTACGCCTGCGCACAATCCCGTCCAAACCATTGTTGAGGCACACATGTCACAGTAAGATAGCAGATGCACATTTAGAAGTGACATCTTGCGATAAGTGTTTTTTTTTCGGTCTAATATGAGCGTGTCACTTGGTTTCAAGGTTCGCTATGGTCTCTGTCTTCTTTGAGGCCCGGCCAGTAACACCGGCTATTCCACACCACCCGCAGAGGGCGAGCAGCCGATGAAAACCCCCTTGTCCTCTCCTCAAAGGGTAGGGGGCATACGACGGGGTGTTTTTTATGATTACCGCACTAACGGTGCCAATAATTAGCACACTTTTTTCCTCAGGAAGTGCGTTGGCAATAATATGCGGTTCTCCGCATGTTCGCCTTTAATTTACCCTTGCAGTGCACGATGGTTCTAGATTGGGTCGCTGTCTCGTTCGTCCCATGGACGACTTGAAGAAAGACTATTTGTTTGTGAAGCCTAAATTCCAAGCAACACCATTTGACTCAACGCGGGCTTTATGTGCATAACTTTACAATCTAAAGACTGGGCATAGTTAACAGTAATCATAATAACCTGTACATCTGTTTGGCTGTGGAAGGCCGGCCAAGACTGTTTAAAAGCCTTTGACGGTATTGCAACCTTAAGCTGGCGTCTTTTTTAGCAGTCAAACTGAAGCTAGACCGTTTTTTTTCATAAAATTTGGGGGAAAATGGAAACGAGGGTAACTGTAAGCATAAGAGTATTGCCTTTAAATATAACGTTTACACTAATATAAATTTTACACGGAGCACAAACCGGGTTTCTTCACTATCACGTGATCAATACTTGTCATTTTGTCAAACTAAAGTTTGTTGCTTATCAACTCTAGGGTCCTCTTCCGAAAAAAGTTATCAATTGTAATTAAATTTAAAAAAAAATAAAGTTTCACTCTTTCGTGAAATCACAGCTCCATAAATAAAACTCGACACAATTGACGACACAATGGAAATGAATTAGTAACGTACTAAATCAAACACCGAATGCATATAACCAGCCTATATATATTCGATTTGCTCTGCTGGGCTTTAAACTCTTCGTTCTCCTTAATCGGGAATTAATTGTCGAATTTGGTCATCCTCAGAGTTGACAGACGAGTTAATTAAGACTTGTAGCTTAAATGAGCGGGGGAGGATAGGACACTACGAAACGATGAATAAAAGATGTTCCTTTTGTTACTGGATGTCCGCTCTGTTAAGGAACCATGCAATAGCGAGGCAGCTGGGTATTAAGTGTCCATTCAAGCCTTTACGCGTGTTATTCTTGTCTTGGTCACCTTGATTGTTTCTGCTCATTAGCGGGAAAGTTGCCGTGTAACGAGCGGGGCGGGCTGACCGCAAATTAGGCGGACAAGTGGCATCCGTTTACTGGAGATGCAATATATATATATATATATATATATATATACACAGAAGAGCTGTCACTCATGTTAGTGGCTCTAAAACGACTCTTCTTCTGTCGTGGGAAGTTTTGTGGTGTTGCTGGTGGTAGCTATTAGGATGCTTAACGTCACTTCAGGAGTAAGGGCGGGGTAGAGAGTGACATGATAATGGAAATCTTACAAAAAGTACCGATCAAATGTCGCTGTATTCAAGGAAAAGCACCAGCGATACTTTTTCATTAATCTTCCCCGTTTCAGTTGCCTTATTTGGTCTCAAGTGCCCGTCATTAAAAATCGCGGCTTCGGTACTGGATGAAAAAAATTGGGGTTGAGGTCGTCGTGTTTAGGTCGCAGAATTGCACTGAGAAATTAATTGTCGGTGGAATACTTGAAAAGGTTATTCCTCACGTTCTTCACTGGGTCGGGATTTCGTGGTGTAGTGGTCATTACGTTCGCTTTACACGCGAAAGGTCCTCGGTTCGATCCCGGGCGAGAATTATTCTTGGGTTTTTGTGGCATTAACGAAATCTCCCGCCTAGAGCAAAGTAAAATGTTGTGCGAAAAAGGGACAAAATTGATTGACTCTACCATCAATTTCTGATATTGAACGTTCTTCACTTTGTGGTTTTTCTTTAAACAGAGGCATTTCAGCCAAAATAGTCTTCACAGTTTCAACAAGCAAACATGGTGGGCCCGTCCTTCGTTTGTTCTTGAAAGGGCATCAATTTGCCTTATGCCGAGCGCCAAAAAAAGAGAGAAAGAAAAAAAAATCCCAAATCGACTGTGTACACACGTATCAATTCCAGTGCCAACGAAATGGCTGATTTACTTAGACCACCCGGGTTCATCTGGATCACTTTTATACTAATGTTTTCACTCCCGGCCGTGCATATATAGACAGATACCCACACCGGGATAATTTGCTGTCAGTGCCATCGTACGTTCACATAGCAAGGCAATGGTTTGTAAGTTGGGTGAAGACATTCCGCGGCGGACAGGACTTTCAAATTATTTTCCTCATTAAATCTCCGGCATGCGGTCCAGTTTGAGTAGGAAACGGAGGAGGAAAATCGGCCCACGGCTATTTCTTGCGTTCCTTCAGAATTTTAGGCCACTCACGGCTCGAGAGGAGACTGCGGGGTGAGTCTCATTAAAAGTCTACGCGCGGCATCTGACACTGGAAATAGAATGGACCCTCGCGATGTGATTGGCTAACAGCATGGACATTTAGGGGAGGGTGCCTGATTTGCAATACCAACTTTAATTAATACAAGTTGTTTCACAATGCAACTACAATATTTATCGGAGAGAAAACACACACAGAATCGATTATTTGAATCAATTTCAACTGATTTTCATATCACCGCGTAATGAAGCCATACATGTACAAATATTTATCGCTTTTGATTACAACAATTGTAAATTCAGCGGGACAGTTAGAAGGTAAATGATATATAATGTCTCTAGGGGCACGACCAACTGAGCTTTATACAACGAAGTGAACATGAGAAAAAAATCCTTAAAAACCTTGACTCTTCTTTCATCTCCAAAATGTAAGAAAAATCATGCTTCGTCCCTGTAGCAAAACAGTCGTCGCAGAATCGCTCAAGAGACTAATTCGGACGGGTAGATGAGACTAATTCGGCGGGGGAGAAATTAATACCGTCGGGGGTTGGACAGCCATTTTACCTGCGCGCTAATAGCCTACCTGCTGCTCTCGGCGCACTCTAGCACGGACGGCCGGTTTCCGAACATCATATTTATTCTATTAATTTACCGGGGAATCCGGAGCGGGTTGGCGGGTGTGCGACAGCCGTCTCTCCCGGCCATGGCGGTCTCCTATGAATGGAAAGGGCTCAGCGCTCGGGCGTATTATTCTGTTTGTGAGGTTGAGAGAGTTTCCGTGATACGTGATACCGTTGATGTGATCGAGCCTTGGCGCCTGGAAAGTTAGTGTTTACAGCGTTCGATGTGCAGTTTGGCATAAAGAGAATTTCTTGTATAACTGAGAAAAAGATAAAGGAAAGCGCTCAAAAGTGTGCAATTAAAACGAAACCACAAAATGTTTACGAAGTAAATCGATACAAAAGGTCTACTGTGACCGTCATTGTGCATTATGATTTTTTTCGAAAAATAGCAGTGTTAAGGTCTCCGGAGTATACTTCATATTGGAGGGGGTCATAGGTCAGAGAAAAGAACAGGTTATAACATGGAAAAGAGAAGGACTATGCTGAGGTTTCCAATTGTTTCCTCCATTGGGAAATTGTTGTATCACCAAATTTGAATATGTTTACATCGTGCCACTAATCCGCAAGGCTCATCATAAATTCTGGCATTTGATTAAATCCCTTCACATCCACAGACGAGGTTCGGGGTTTGATAATTCCTTCTACCCAATCGCTGTTTTTATGTATCAAAGTCTATGTAGACAACAAGCGTTTTTCCTAATTCTTGCTTCTCGTTCGAACTATTCATGATTTTAAATCTGCGGATTGAAAACATCTGCTTGTCGTGCTCAGCGTATTCAATTGTGTGCACACACTAATTGCCTTGACAACAAGGAAGAATAGTGGACTCCCAAATAGTGGTGAGGAATTGTACCGTGATAATTGGGGACCATTCTACAAGGACATGCTGATTACTAACTACTGGAAGTGGAAAGTTAGTCTTCTTTCCTTTCTGGGTTTTTTTTTCACATGAACTTGCCTTTGTATGGAATTCCATATCTGCCGTCGCCCGTCGCATTTTGCTTTTTGTTGTGTCCCAATTCTGCCATTTACCAGTTCCAAACATGCCATTTTCCGTCGTGCGTCGCCCGTCGTCCGTCGCCCGTCGTGCGTCGCCCATCAAATGGGTTGCATAGGACCTGCAAAAGCCGGGGTTTAACAAATGACAATGTGATGATTCCATTCACTTCTAAGGAGTCTTTTCCCAATAAGGCAAGTACAAATCCCACCCGCAAAGCATATACTAGTCCCATAATTGATGCCAATAATGCTAGACTACCCCTGCCCCTTGACAAGAAAATGTCGCCTTTCTGAGAATTCAGCTAAGTGTTTTTTTGGGAAACACATTTTCAGCGAGAATGTTCAGGCCAACTTTTCCACAGTGTTATTCTAATTTGCATACTGTAAAAATGTGCCGACTTGTTTTCATCAAATTCCAGGAAGAAATCTGCCAACCGATACAGATATTCTATCTTGTCCTCTCAATTTCACTTTGAAATACGGATGCTGTGGATAGCAAATTGTTTATTAAATGTATTGTTGGGGGCAATT